ATGCTTGACTGCTTGACTGACTGATATTAAGAGTGTACTTTCAGATATTTAAAAAGCTGTACCATTTTACAAACATATATATATTTATATTTTATATATATATATATAGTATAGTATAGTATTTCAGTCTGGCGAGTAAACAAAAACATTTACTAGCCAATGGCGATTCAATTGCCAAGGTGTCCGTAGAGGGTTGAAATGTCTTTTTTCTTTTTTAACAATAATAATATATTGTAACTGTCATGTCTTGCTCACTTTTCCATGAACAACTGCGCATAAATCATAACTGGGACTAATGAAACACAATAATAACGGCAATCGTATTTAACAATAAAGGCTCATATTTGAATATGTTCTTTTCTTTATTTATGAAGAATTATAAGCGTGTGTATGATGTGATTTAGCCTATGCACATTTGTCCGAAAGCCTGGCAGAGTGATCACAAGATGCTATGCTAAAGTTTTGTATTGTTTTCAGAAAGGATGCACGTTCTAGTCTTTTTTTATGTTAATATTACGTTGCGCTGCGTGTGTTTTTCTTCAAAGCACCAACTTACACTGAACAAAATTATAAACGCAACACTTTTGTTTTTGCCCCCATTTTTCATGAGCTAAACTCAAAGATCTAAGACTTTTTCTATGTACACAAAAGGCCTATTTCTCTCAAATATTGTTCACAAATCTGTCTAAATCTGTGTTAGTGAGCACTTCTCCACCCCTGATCTGGTATAGAAATAAATTAGTGCTGCTGTCGGGTAACGGGTCGAGTGTTCTGTTAAGTACTGCTGGTGCACGTTTACCAAACAGGACCCGTGCAGGACTCTGCTTTAAACTAGTTTAGTTATTTCCCTAAACCGCCACACAGCTCATACATTTTTATTATATTTCAGTTTACGAAATAGTTTTTTCATCAATCGTTTTCGTCTTAGTTTTAGTTTTCATTCACGAAAATAACCTTGCAGTATACACTATACACATATACATGTATATTATGTAAACAAAAACTTTTATATTGGTTGCGATTAATCGTTTGACAGCACGATATAATTTTTTTGAATTGTATCTAATATTTTAATACTTAATTTCCATGATCTAAATATTCTTAAAAATTTAAAGTTTGTTGTCATTTGGAAGTGTCTCCAGATGCACACCAGGGGCCATTTGATTGTTGACGATTTGGCATGATCTTGGATTGTTTGGTTCTTCGAAGCTCATCCCGGAGTTGCTGTCAAAGCAACAGGTCCGTAAACTTAAACCTGCTAGGGAGCAGGCTTATTTCATGTAAACAGGATTAGATTGCATCGTTTTAAGCAGAATTGATACTTAAAATCTGTTTATAAGCTGTTTCCTTATAAAAGTCCAAAAATGTGTCAAGTTTTTCATCAGGTGTCTTTTTTAATTATATGATGTCATTACGTTGCTGTCTTGCCGCCAGCCAGTCGCTGCATTGCTGATCGTGGTTTCGAGTATCGATACATAGCCCCTTTTAGACCAACCCATGAACGCGCAATTATCTCAGATAACTCAATCCAGCCATATTAATCATCAACAACAGGTGCGTTCGAAGAACCGAATTAGCTCTCGGATGTAATAAGCGACGTATGAAGAACGGGCCCCAGTAATGTTTTTTCTAAGGCTCGTTTATAAAAATCACTTGTCCTAATTGAACTATGGCCAAATCTTGGCTTAGTTTAAGCCCTGTCTGTGAAACAAGGATATTATAGTTTTGAATTTTTTAATTAGTTTTTATTTTAAAAGTTAGTTAGTTTCATTAATGGTTTTGTTAGTTTTAGTTTAGTTTTCATTTTGTGAACACATTTCTATTTAGTTTTTATATATTTTAGTTTCAGTTTTAGTAATTATAGTTTAGCAGAGTTAATGGAACACTTCCAGTGTAGACCAAAGCAAGACATTTAATTTTAGCAAAGTTGAATGTTTGCACAGTTTAGTTAACTCTTGTAACCTCTTAATAATGAAAATAAAATAATTATTTACAATTGAACAAAAACCAAAAATATGCAACTTATATGTAAAGGGTTTCAGAGTTACTAGAAAGCTACAAGCAGCTGAGTTTTTATCAGGGTTGAAGCTAAATTCTGCAGGACAATGACCCCTCCAGTACTGGATTTGAGGAAACCTGTTCTTTGTAATTGTCATTGAAACTTTGTAAACTTAATTTTTGTCCATCTGTATTTTCAATGCATTCATTTGTTGGATCTTTTGAACAGACGAGCCACCGGTGCACACTACCGTATGCCCCGTCTCTCCCTCTATAAACGTACACAATAAAAAGAAACAATCTAAAATGCTTTGAAACCTCATACTACTCAAAACTAAATGCGATATGGTGATTTAAATTACGTTTGCACTTTACTTTGACGAGCCGCTCCTGCGCGCACGCGCTTCAGATGAGCAACGCAATCAATCCCAGTTCTAGAACCCCTTTTACACAGGACACGGCAAGGGGTGAAATCACCGCGCGGCTGCCTCTTTCTCTCATTTTGGATGCGTTTTGTACAGTCAAAGTGGTGCTCGTGTCATGGATTCGAGGCGGACGTTGCAATAGTAATCGTAAAGCGTGACAAAATGAAAAAAGTCACTAAAGTCAGCTTATCCAAAAATTTTAATTCTGTCTCTGTTAACTCACTCTCATGTTGTTTTCGCACGTCAAACACGCTTTTAAACGTCCGTGCGCTGTAAGGTGTGCATTATTATTATTTCCCATTTCATATTTTATAGTTATTTCCCATTTCATTTCCCGCGTCTTGTGTTTTAAATGCAAAAATATCAACGCTTAGGACTCAGCTCACGTGCATGATGCGCCATCTACAGGTATTTCCTTAAACAACCACAGGTCAGATTTTCTGGCACAGAATGAGAGCTTATTAAATCACGAACACGATTATTTATTTTTGCTAATTATTATTTTATTTTAGTTAGTTTTTCAGTTACTGTTGTTAGTTTCGTTTAGTTTTAGTTTTTCATTTATTTTGAAATTTACATTTTATTTCAGTTTACGAAAATGTTTTTTGACTAATAGTTTTAGTCTTAGTTTCAGTTTTC